GTGGTGTGATGTTCAACAATTCTGTCCAGAGTTATATAGCATGGAGGCCATTTCGTTCTGTCCATTTGAAAGCGTGCGTTCCCCTCAAAGTATTCGACCGTTACAAAAGTACCAGTATCGACACAGTGTTCTATGGTGGGTGATCTTCGCATTCGATCCTGGAGCAATTATTTGCGTTGCAACGGGCGCAAAAAATATAATGTCACGAAGAGCGTTCCAGGGATGATGGTGTAATGTCACGTTTTGTCAATGGTCTTTCATTTCTTCTGCATTTATTTTAACTTAGTCCTTCCAGTTAAGGGCAACGACTCATTCTATGCTATCCTGTCCGTCTTCTATTCCATGCAGAAACTGGTGCCCTACTACTGGGGATAAAAATATTTATATTAATGCATACAAGAACTTGCCAAAACCGTAGAATGGAGGAGAGCTCCAAAAGAGGGACCACAACCATACGACTGCAATCATCAGTGAGGTGCGTCTGTGGTTCGTGCCGTTGGCTGACGTGTCTGAACAATAACTAGATATCGATCAATGGAAATCATCGCCGCAGTGTTGAGGGTAGCGAACCCAAATAGACCACAACCATAGATCTCACAGGCTGGGGTTATAGAAAGTTCCGTTTTAATAAGTAGTTTTCAAGCAAGTGTACTCATAGTTGCTCAAGCTGAAACAACAAAATTTTATGTCCAGGTCATATGTGAACTCATTATATCCTGCATTGCAAATTAAATTTTTAGATAAGGATATTTAATATATTAAGACACCGTAATATTTGAAAAAATTTCCAGAGTATACCGGCAACTTTAAAGCAAGTTAAAATCAGGAATCATAGTGTGTAGTTATGTTCGAGTTATCTTTGTCTGCTAGACGGATTCCGTCGTCGAATTACTCGAGAATTCCAGACTCAACCTTGCGTCTCATCCTTTTATCCACGCAGGGTTTTCCACAACATAGATAGTATTAAACTACACAGCTGAGAGACTAGAAGGCATCTTCTGAGACATAGGTTACCAAAATAGGAGGCCTAACTGAATGTAATGGGTTACCAAAGGGATGAATTATATTGAGCAAGTACGTGTCTTTTTAAGACAACGTGTAAATGATTCCAGACGCCGTCTAGTAGTTATCATTCTCCCTCTCCATTGTCCATATTCAAAATACGCACGCTATTGTGATTTTTATAGTAAGATAAACGTTTGCTTTACTGGATAAGCGAAGTAAGTTGCATTTCGAGATGATATGATTAAAAGAATAAAGATCTTCGGAAAATCGAGTGTTACTCGTGAATTTTCGAACAGCTATCACTTGTTCGTCGTCAGACTTAATGAAAAGTGAGGGCTGGGACTGTCGCACTAGAGGTTTTGGGGGCAGAGGTTACAACGGACTGGGATGGGTTTGGGGGAGGTTTTAGATGACGTGAATTCTGCGTCGATAGGTTGTGCAGGAAAGCTGGGGGAGACGGTAATGTTTGGATTGTGGGCATGTGCTGCGGGGGGAGGGGGAAGGGGATAGTGCAGTTCCATTGGAACGAGCACGGACGGCCTGCTATTGTTTGAGGCTGGGCGCAGGTTTGTGGACCGGCCGGGCCCAACGT